GTGGGGTCACACCAGCCTGGGTTTACTCCCCAGCTCTGCCATTTCCTAGCTGTGGGAACTTCCTGAGTCTCAGTTGTCTCACCTGTGAAATTGGAATAAGTGCGACCTCACAGGTGGATACACTTGAGGGCAGCTGCTCCTGACACAGACCCTGGCATGTTTCAGAGTCCTAATGGACTTTCTGGGCCATTAAGGGAAAGTGTAACCTGTGTTAGATACATTTGACTATGGTTTTTTTTTTTTTTTTTTTTTTTTTGAGATAGAGTCTCATTCTGTTGCCCAGACTGGAGTGCAGTGGCTCGATCTTGGCTCACTACAACCTCTACCTCCCGGGTTCAAGTGAGTCTCCTGTCTCAGCCTCCCGAGTAGCCGGAATTATAGGCATGCACCACCACACCCGGCTAATTTTTTTTTTTTTTTTTTTTTTTTGAGACAGAGTCTCACTTTGTCATCCAGGCTGCAGTGCAGTGGCGCGATCTCAGCTCACTGCAAGCTCTGCCTCCTGGGTTCACGCCATTCTCATGCCTCAGCCTCCCAAGTAGCTGAGACTACAGGCGCCCACCACCACACCCGGCTAATTTTTTGTATTTTTAGTAGAGACAGGGTTTCGCCATGGTAGCCAGGATGGTCTAGATCTCCTGACCTCAGGTGATTGGCCCTCCTTGGCCTCCCAAAGTGTTGGGATTACAGGCGTGAGCCACCACACTCGGCCCTGCATTTGACTGTGCTTTGAGGATGTTCTAGCATTTGGTCCAATTCAGTTGAGTAGATAACTTTTACTGATACCCGATACTCAGAAAATTGGAGTGACCTCCCAGATGGCACTTCTCAATCGGGTCATACTGCAACCTGTGTTCTCTGAGGTCAGCGATACTGCATCTGGTTTATCTCCACATCTTCCTGCTTAGCCCCGTGCTTGACATATAGTGGGCATTTGCTCCCATATTTACAGAGTGAGTGGACTGGTCTGTATCTGTTTAGCAAATGCTTCTCTGTGCCAGGCTCTGTACTGAGCGCTGGAACAAATCATCCCGATAAAAAACTCAGCACAATGATGGATGAGGCTCTATGTGTTCTCCTCTGGTGGGTATATCCGAATTTAATAGGAAGCAACGTCTTGAGCAAAAGGAACAAAGCAGCCCTAATAAGGGTATGTCAGGATGCTGCCGGGAGAGGTGTCCCTGCCATGATCCCATGAAAATGGGTCATTAGAACAAGGCCCCGGCTGGAACATTCTAGCACTGGGATTCCCCACAGAGAAAGCCAAGTGTCCAGGTGTAAATGAAAGGGAGGCCCTTTCTCCTGACTCTAGCATTGTGTCTCACACCAGCCATACATAAGACTTTGTCTAGTACCCCGCTTTGCTGTACCTCCAGCACCCAGAGCTGCTGGGCACCCTGGAAGTGAGTGAGCGAGTGGACGAGCAGATGACTCAGAGGCCAGCTCACAGTCTTGTGGGTGAGGCAGACAAGAAACGAACAAGCAGAATGCTCCATTACGGCATGTGGAGAGGAATGCCCAGGGCGCCTGCAGGAGGGAGTGGCTGCCCGTCTGCAGTGGGAGGAAGGAGTGAGGAATGAAAGCCTCCCTGAACTCTGCCTGCAGAATTTTCCAGATTGGCTTCTCTAGTCCTGGCCTTACCACACCCCTCACCTTCATATTTCTCTCACCTCGGTTCTCTGAGCATCTTCATCGCCCAAATCCTTTCTGAGAGTCTTTTCTGAAGGTGGGGTTTGTTCTAGAGATTCTAGTTCCCTCCGCAGAGACAAGTCCTCCAGTGACCAGTGTCCTGCCCCAACTCCCCAGGTGGATCATGAGGCCCCTGCATGAGCCAAGCCCTCCGGGAGCCTCAGCACCACCCGTACCATAAGGCATCGGCCTGCTCTGCCCCCTGACTCAGGGCCGTGGTCCGCACTTCACTAGGAGGACAGAACCAGCTCAGGGACAGCAGCTAGAAGACCAGGGGTTCAGCCCCAAGGCTGGTCCTTCCTGGCTGCGGGTGTGCAGCATCAGCCTCGGGCTTCCCGGCTCTGGGTGGGAAAGCTGGGTCCCTCTCTGTGTTGCTGTGAGGATTCGACATGAAGTTGTGTGGGAAAGTGCTTTGTAAACTGCCAAGGGTGGAACAGATGGGAGTGTTACTCTCTGCACTCCTTCCCCAGCGGATTTGGGGGGTTCCCAGCCCACATGAGTGTTTTGCTGCCTGCACAAGAGCCCCTTGTTGCTCCTGGGTTTGAGCGACACGTGGCTTAGCGATGCCTGAGATCCTGTCTATAAGGAATCCTCTCATTCCTGGGAGGAGGGTGTGGGCGGCTTCTGCATGGGCTCATGAACTCTTTTTTGGTTGTTGTTATTTTATTTATTTATTTATTATTTATTTATTTTTGAGACAGAGTCGTATTATTGCCCAGGCTGGAGTGCAGTGGCCAGGTCTTGGTTCACTGAGGCCTCTGCCTCCAGGGTGCAAGGGATTCTCCTGTCTCAGCCTCCCGAGTAGCTGGAACTACACGCACACATCACCATGCCCATGCTCTATTTTTAGTAGAGACAGGGTGTCACCATGTTGGCCAGGTTGGTGTCGGACTCCTGACCTCAAGTGATCGGCCTGTCTCAGCCTCCCAAAGTGCTGGGATTACAGGTGTGAGCCACCGCACCCGGCCAGCTCACTAACTCTTAAGGAGGAGACGATGCAGAGCCTTCAGGCTGGGGCAGGCAAGGAGAGGGGCTGGGAGAGACTGGGCAGCAGCGTGCTCTTGCGAAGCCCCCTTACACCCTTAGCCCCCTCAGTCTTCACAGATCCTGCCTCCCCCAGTCCACCCAGGGAAACAGGACCCCTGGGGCCTGGCATTGTGCACAAAAACATCCAGGGGAATGACCCAGCAGGTTTGATAAAACTATAGGAAGCAACAATGCCCTTTGTCTGGTTTCTCCCCAGGTGGGGAACTGTCCCCTCCTCCCACACATGCGGTGTCTCACGTCTGCTGATGTTTACTCTGAAAATGAGACTGGAAACAAGGGCTTGGGGGAGGAGTCAGCTTGAGGACCCCAGGGCCAGACACTCTATGCCTCAGTTTCCTCTTCTAGAAAATAAGAATGATCAAAGCGCCTGCCTCATACAGTGGTCGTGAGGATCGAATGAAGAGAGCTGTGCGGAGAGCCTGGCCTATGGGAAGGTGAAGTTGGCCTTAGCTGTGTCTTCGTCTCTGCTCATTCTGGGGTCCCAGCCTCCTTTGTCTCCCTCTGGACCGTGGCTGGAGCCTCCCCACTGGCCCCCTCTGCAGAGTCCTCCCCACCATCATCCCTTCCCTCTTCCAGCAGCCAGAGTCATCTTCCCAACCACATGCCAGACCCTCCACTCCTGCTGAAGGCCCCACAAAACATCGTGTCTGTTCCTTCACTCACTCAGCACACATCTGAAGTTCCGCAGTGCCCTAGGCCGGGCATCAGACCCCGAGGATGCAACGGGGAGTGAGACAGACAAGGGTCCTGGCTCTCCAGGAGCGTGCGTCCAGCCTGGTGTGGGAGGAGACAGCAATGAGGAGACAGGGAACCAGAGGGAGGTGTTAAGTGCTGGACATCGGTCATCTATTATAATGATGCCACAAACACACACCCCCCAGGTTTAGTGGCTTCAAACAACACTCATTATTCTCACTCTGAAGGCTGTCTTTTGGGTGGGGATCAACAGACAGAGCGACTAGACCGGGCTTAAGCTCCAGGACTGCTTCCTGGGCCTCTCATCCATGGACCACTGGGCCACCTGGGACTTGTTTGTCCCGAGGTGGTGGCAGATGGGCAAGAAGTGAATGGGGACCTGCAATGCCAGGCACTGGGACACTCTTACTTCTGCCCACATTCTGTTGGCCAAAGGAAGCCTCATGGTCAAGTCCAGCATCAGTGTGGTGGGAAAGGACACCCTGCCTCTGGTGGGAGATGAGGAAAAACCATAGGAGGAAAGGGGGATTTTCAGCGGGGCAGGTTGAAGAACTAGGAGTAGGAAAGCAACCCTTATGGGCTCTGCAGGAAACCGAGGGTACTGAGATGAGGACTCACTGAGGCGTCCGCTTCTCAGGGCTGGTCAGGGTTGGCTTCTCCAAGCCGCTGTCATTCAGGCCTAGAACTGAAGGAGGAGGAGAGTCGGCCGTGCAGTCAGGGAAGAACTTTCTTGGCAAGTGCAGAAATGAAGCAGAAATGAATTGCCGTGTCTTTGGAACCGACAGAGGCCCAGACTCCTTGCCCCTATTGTGTCTGCACTTAAGTCCATGCTGAGTGGCCCAGTTACGGCCTCTCTGTCCCAGCCATGGCCTCTCTATCCCAGCCGTGGCCTCTCTGCCCCAGTCATGGCCTCTCTATCCCAGCCGTGGCCTCTCTATCCCAGCCATGGCCTCTCTGTCCCAGCCATGGCCTCTCTGTCCCAGCCGTGGCCTCTCTGCCCCAGTCATGGCCTCTTTTTCCCAGTTGTGGCCTCTCTGTTCTAGTTGTGGCCTCTCTGTTCCACCTGTGGCTTCTCCGTCCCGATCATAGCCTCTCTGTCCCAGCCGTGGCCTCTTTGTCCCAGCTGTGGCCTCTCTGTCCCAACTGTGGCCTGTGTGTCCCAGCCGTGGTCTTTCTGCCCCTGCCGTGGCCTCTGTGCCCCTGCCTGTGCTGACACGCGGCAGTTCTCCGGCGCCTTGCTCTGTCCTATTACTGGCTTTGGCTATGCTCTATGCTCTGCCTGGAAAGCCCTTCCTCTTTCTTGGGCCAAATCCTACTCATCTTAAGATTTATATTTTTATTCTTGTTTTTTTTAGAGACAGGGTCTTACTCTCTCCCAGGCTGGAGTTTGGTGACACGATCACTCTTCACTGCAGCCTCAACCTCTTGGGCTCAAGTGATCCTCCTGCCTCAGCCACTGGAGTAACTGGGGCTACAGGTGTGCACCACCATGCCCAACTAATTAAAAATCTTTTTTTGTAAAGATGGGGTCCTGCTGTGTTGCCCAAGCTGGTCTCGAACTTCTGGCCTCAAGCAATCCTCCTGCCTCAACCTCCCACAGTACTGGGATGGTTGGGCCTTGGGCTGAGAAGGAGACAGGGAAGGGGCTGTAGGAGCTGTGTGATCCTAGGTGAGCTGTCTGACCTCTCAGATTTGTTCTTTTCATCAACAGAATGGGGATAATGGAATCCACCTCCTGGGACTGTCACGAGAATTAGATGAGGGATTCTGGAAAGAACATGGCCCACGGTTGAGTTCTGGAGAGGCTGCTTCCTCTCTGGGCGACCTTATTCCACCTCTCTGAACGTGAGTTTCCCAATCTGTAGAACAGGGGGAAGGAAAACTGTCTCCTGGGACTGCTGGGATTAAATGAGATCGTGCCTAGAAAGCCCTTGCAGGAAGACCCCCTCCAGGGTCACACACCTCTGTCTTTCCCTCCCCTCTTCCTTTCTCTCTCCCTTCCTGGGACAGACTCCAGGGGAGGAAGCGCTGTCTCTAAGTGGGTGAGGCCTTGCCCAGACTCTCCCGCCTGACTCCGCCTGGTTTCCACGTTGCCACCCTCTCGCCACCGAATGGCCACCCTTGGGGTTGGCCCTCTCACCCCCACTGGAGAATCCAACTGGAGCCGCAGTCACTGACCAGGCACTTCTGAAGACAGGAGGAGCATCGAATGAGAAGATGCAGCCAACAACCCGGTCCCCACGGCAACATGTTGACACTGGTCCTCTCCACCCGAGGCCTCTTCTGGGGCTCCCCACATCTTCAGAAGTGGTTCTACTTTTATGCCCCATTTGTCAGTGAGGAAGGATTTAGGAATCCAGATAAAAACCCGGGTCAATCTGACTCCAAAACCAGCACTCTGTCCACTCACGCTTTTCCGTGTCAGAAGACTGTGTGTGCTGAGCAGGGGTCTATCCACCCCTCCATCCCCTAAGCCCTCAGGAAATAAACAGAGTCCAACACATAACAAGTGCTGAAGTGGTTGTAGATGAGCAAAGGAATGAATGATGGACAAGCAAGTGAATGAGTGAATGCACTTGTGGAGGTCTGCTGTCCTCTCCCAGAAACTCCCTCTCTGTCTTTCCCCCTCCATGCTCTACCCACCATTGCCCCACCCCTCCTTCCCTCTCTGCAGCCACCTTGGGCCAACAATAGATGGGACCCCTCCATCACCTACAGCCCACTTGCAACCTCAGGATGCTTTGATGGAGTTGCCTTGGCAACTGTAAGTTTCCAATTGAAGCAAAAAGTTCCTACCAGGGTTTTCGATGAAGAATGACAGGGGAGAACCAGCGGAGAAGGTTGCCCAGGCAACGGGAACATTTAAGTCAAACTTTGCGGGTCTCAGTGTGGGGAGATTGTCCTCAGCAAGGTGCAGAGATCGGCCCCCTTGCCAGGCGGCTCTGCCAACGCAAACTGCACGTTCATGGAGACGGGGGAGGCCCCCGGCCTCACCCCAACCGGCCAGTTGTTTCCGACAATTCTTGATCTGCCATCCCCAGAGTTCTCTGACTCATGACAATCCCCAGATAGGCCTCGAGCTTAGCAGTATCTCCAGGTTGACCAGGTGACTCGAGAGGGTGCTTTGTGTCCTCATTTATGTCTGTGCCAGACCCAGGGGTTGGGTTTGCTCTCAGTTACTGCCTCATTTTGCCCCTGTCCTTGTGAACTCGTCTGTCCTTTGTCCCCCTGCAGAAGCAGACGAGGGCCCTCAGCATATGATGTCAGCGGCTCTGGCGCCCGGCTTTGTCAGCCGCGGTTCCTGAGTGGGTAAAAGGGATGAGCCCCTCTCTCCAGGGAGAAGGAAGGGAGGATGAGAGGCGGGGAAGCCCTGAGGCCCGTGGGTGGTAAGGAGAGCAGCTGGGATCTGACCTGTCCATAGACAAGGCCGCTTCCAGGGAATCCAGGCCCTTTGGCTTCCACAGGGGACTGAGACTCCCTGGGGCAAGATCCCCTTTCAGGTGCCTGATCCTGCAGGGTGATGGGGTGGGAGGGGCTTAGATGCACCTGGGCCCCCACCTGCCCTGTGCTATCTCAGCCCCTGGCTTCTGCCCTTTTCTCTTCCCTGTCCTGCTCCCCTCATCCATGTGTAAAAACCAGGCACCCAGAACACGAGCAGGGCTGAGCCTCAGAGTAGGGTTACACATGGTGCCTGCCTTTACCTGCAGGGGGCTTGGGCTTCGCTTGACCTAGGCCTTCAGGACTCTGCCCTCTTCCCTGGCCCTCCAAGAGCCTTCAGCTTCATCTAGCCCCCAGGCCTTTGCACCTGTGGCACCCCCCGCCTGGATCACTCCACCCCTTCCCACCCCCACGCCGGCCTTGACCACACTTCTTTTCGCCTCTCTCTTTATTGCAGATGTCACACCCTGGAACTGTGTGGTATTTCTGTTGTCCGACCACAGTACGACGTAGGCTCCACGCCACAGGGACTCCGGCTTCCTGGTCGGCCACTTTGTGCCTGGAGCATGGAGCCGGGCGGGTGCCTGGTGGATGTGTGTTGAATAAACAGGTGGGTGGCCGCCTCACGTTCTTCCATGGTAAAGTGACACTAAGGATCATAGTCACCTCTGGGCTACATGAAATACCACGTGGAAACGCCTGGCAGCGGGCAGGGCAGGGCAGGGCAGGGCAGGGCACTTCGCTTTCTATACTAGCTGTAAAGTGAGAAAGAAGCCCTGGGCGCTGGAAGCCTGGCTTTTCGTCGACTCTGCAGCTCCTGGTTGGCTCTGTGTGTGTGTTTGTGTTCAGTAATCAACTTGACTCCTCCGCTGGGGTCGTGGTGCCAGTGTGTCCAGTTCTTGTGCAAATAGAACATTTTTAAGCTTGTTCTGCCACTTGCGGAATTTGTCCTCGTTCAGCAAATATTTACGTGCTGTAGAGTTTAGCCCTGAGAGAGAGGGACAGGACCCTGTGTGTCCCGTCCGCCTTGCCTGTGGGTCTCACCAGCGGCTTCCTTCATGTCACTCTGGAGCACCTCACCCACTCTGAGAGGAAGGCGCTGCTATCCCCGCTTTGCAGATGAGGAAACTGAGGCTGGGAGGCGTGGAGAGGGCTGCTCAGGCTGAAGCTGAGGGCTGAGATGCTATCTGTGCAGCTCAGGGGCAGGGGGAGGGTGACGGCCTCTTGCTCTCTGGGGAAGGGCTCTCACTGGCCGCTCCCTGCCTCCTGGCTTCTGCCTCTCTGTTCCCCGAAGACCTCAGCCTGCCTGTCCGTCCTGACCTGACATGGGCCTGCCCTCCCTGCAGACACGCAGCCTCCCTGGGTTCAGGCACAGACACGGGGCCTCACAGAGCCTGGACCTGAGTGCTGTCACCTGTTTAATGTCACAAGTCTGTGTTTCCAGACAGGACAGCAGAGAGACAGGGGGACAGAGATAGACAGAGACAACAGTGGGCTGAGCAAGCACGTCAGAGACAGAGAGGGACAGAGATGGAGACAAAAGACAGAGAAGGAGACACTGACAGAGTGAATCAGAGAGAAACACAGAGACAGAGAGAGACACAGAGACAGAGATAGAGAAAGACAGAGACAGAGGGACAGATAGAGAGAGACAGAGGTGGGGTAGAGCACCAGAGACAGAAAGAGACAGAGAGGGACAGAGATAGAGGAAAAAGGCAGAGGAGAGAATGACAGAGTGAATCAGAGAGAGACAGAGACAGAGATAGAGACAGATAGAGAGAGAGAAAGAAAGAGACGGAGGGATAGGTATAGAGAAACAGAGACAGGGCAGAGCATTAGAGACAGAAAGAGACAGGGAGAGAGATAGAGACAAAAGGCAGACAGAGAAGGAGAGAATGAAAGAGTGAATCAGAGACAGATGGAGACAGACAGAGACAGAGACAGAGACAGAGAAGGACAAATCAGAGACAGAGAGAGACAGACAGAGACAGAGAGGGACAAATACAGACATAGAGACAAAAGAGAGAGAAATAGAAATATATATATATGAAGAGAGAGAGAGAGAGAGAGAACGAGGGAGAGGGAGTGGGTCCTGGGAAAGAGGCAGAATCAGAGATGGAGGCAGAGACAGAGATACTTAGGAAGGGGTGTCTGGAGACTCTGGGGGACAAGTCTCCACCTGGCTGCCACCATTCCCCTCTCCTCTTTCCTCCTCAGCTCTCCCTCCTGTCAGGACAAGCAAAAGCATCAGAGACAGAGACAGAGATAGAGACAAAAGACAGAGAGAGATGGAGACACTGACAGAGTGAATGAGAGAGAGACGGCAGCACGCGTGAGGTTGGTGCTGGGAAAGGGGTTTCTCCCCTCCCTTCTGCCTCCCTCCTCTTCTCCCCAAGGCCTCTCCCTTCACCACCTTCCTGGCTCCCTCTGCTCCCCTTCCAAGCCTGCACGTTCTACAAGGCTTCACCTTGTCTCCAGGACAGGGTCCTCCTGGAGCTCCTGATGGGTAAATATTTACACCACAAGGGTGTCCTGGGGAATTTCTTCGCCCTCTATTAAACAAACACATGTCATTGAAGAAAAGAGCGTCCGCCGAGCACCTCCCTTCTCCCCTCCCCTCTCTTTTCCTTGGGATAGAGCAGGTAGGGACAGCAGGACCTTTCCAGGGGCTCTGATGGCATGGACAAGCCTGGGCATCAAGGCCTTCATCAGCAAGAGGTTCTTATGACACAGACATGGCACCCCACGATCTGCAGAAGGTGGACACAGTCAGGAGGGCGCCCCCGCCACCTGGCTTTGAGAACAGACAGCGGAGTCCCATGAGGGAATCTTGGCTTAGCTTCTTCCCCACTGTGTGATTTTGGACACCTTCCTTGACCTCGCTGAGCCTCTGACCTTCTGCAGGACAATGCTGGCTTGCAGAGTTGTTGTAAGGTTTGGAGATCGTGGATACAAAATGTCTCCAACTAGCCTAGCACGTGGTGAACGTCTGGCTTCTCGGCCTCTGCATTGAGGACATTTGGGCCGTTGTAGAGGGTTCCCTGTGCATGCAAAATGAAGAGGAGCACCCCGGCCTCTACCCACTAGCATCCCTCAGTTGTGACCACCAAGCATGTCTCCAGACATTGACAAATGTCCCCGGAGACAAAATTGGCCCTGGTCCAGAACTACTAGAATAATCATAGTTTACAGTAATAGATTTTTTATAATAATCTATTATTATCAATAGTAAGAATAATTTTTTTTGAGATGGTCTTGCTCTGCCATCCAGGCTGGAGTGCAGTGGCGCAATCATGGCTCACTGCAGCCTTCACCTCCTGGGTTCAAGTGATCCTCCCACCTCAGCCTCCTGAGTAATTGGGACTACAGGTGTGCACCACCATGCCTGGCTAATTTTTTGTGTGTATATCTATGTTTTTTGGGTAGAGACAGTGTTTTACCGTGTTGCCCAGGCTAGTTTCAAACTCCTGGGCTCAAGTGATCCACCACCTTGGCCTCCCAAAGTTCTGGGACTACAGACATGAGCTACCTGCATACCCAGAAGAATAATTTGTTTTTTAAGTCCTTAATGAAGACAGTCTGAGCCCTGGGATGCTGGCAACTTATTTATGAAGACAAGGCCCTTCCCATATGTGATTAGAAACACAGGGCACTCGGTGTGAATTGAGATTTTTAATCTGCAGAAGACAGAACGTGGGAAGTCATTAATATCCGTCTTCAGAGTGATGGCGCCACCTCAGCAGCAATGAGAACCGTGGGGCTTACATTGCCCTTAGCATTCCTCAGCCTTCCCGACAGGGCTGAGAGGTCACGTTGCCATTTGGCTTTTACAGTTGAGGAAATCAAGGCTAACAGTTTAAGTGGCTCATCAAAGGGCTCAGGCCCCAGGTTATTTTGGCAGCTGGTATGGTTTCCTCTGTGTGGGTGTATTAGCTCCTTATCACTGCTTTAACAGTTACACCTAATGGCTTAGACAAAACGAATTTATTATTTTACAATTCTGTGGATGAGAAATCTCGCACAGATACAGTTGGGCTAGAATCAAGGTATCTGCAGGGGTGTGGT